AGCTAGCAGAAGGGAGAAGTGTGCATTTATCAGGAGCCTGAAAGTTTTGGTCATGTTTGTGATGTTTCCTCTGAGGCCTATAATTTGTTTATCACGAAAAAACTTAGCCTTTCATCCAAAGGTTTAAATATTAGAGAAAATGAGCAAAAATGACAACTCTGTGTGCTAGAGCCAGGGGAACTGGCAAGGCTGCAGCTGGCTCATCTGGGTGCAGGGATCTGGAGGTGCAGGCAAGGGAAGGGAACTTGTCAGGGGGCTGAGGTTCAGTTAAGGCCTTTTTACATGAATTCAGGAATGTGACAAGTGGTAAAGTCAATGCCACAATTTACTTCCTTTTTAACTGCTGCTTCGTGTTACCCTGAAGTGTCCTTAAAAGAATTAAAGTGCAAACAAAAGCATCTTTGACTAAAAGGTCAAATAGGCTGATAACATTTACTTCCTGGAGAGAAATGACAAAAGGCAAGTGGCCTGGGTTTTATGTTTGTGTGTGATAAATGAAGGTGAGCCTTCAAAAGGAACTCGTGTGTCTGAAAGATTACTGAAAATAGATCTTGTAAAAAGCATGGCTGCTGTTGGGTGACTGCAGGAAAGAACATGGGATCAGCTTGCCACTGAAGTTCAAGGGACTTGGACAAGCAGGGCTCCTCCTGAGGTGCAGCTGGTGGAGATGGAGTAACTGATACTGCCCTTTAAATTTGAGAATCTACTTGGAGAATGGAAAGACTTAGCCTTTCTCACAGAGGTTGCAGTAGAAACTACTGTTACAGAGTATTTTGGAAGGTTTAACTGTTGTAATGAAAATGTTAAATGTTCTGAAGACAGTAATGCAAAAAATCCTTCACAGTGGGGTATTTGACACTGCAAAGCAGCTCAGAATTGAAGGTTAAATGAAATTTATTTTTTTCCATATCCTAAAACTTCCTCCCTTTCGTGCTTTTGTGTGGCTTTATCTTTTTTCCCCTTTGTTCATTGCAGATTATAGAAAACATAGGTTCTTGATGCTTCTTTAAACTGTGACTTTTCCAAATCTAATGCTAACTACTTAATTCACTTGAGACGCTTTCTGTATTTATGTTCCCCTGAGAATATTCCCTACTTCATATTATGCATCTTCCAGCAGCCTGTGCCCTGCACATTCCCATCTCTGTAGTTCCTCATGGCAATTTAGTCTTCTTCCATGTTTTCTTTCCATTATAGAAAACATGGAAGAAGACTAAATTAGCTAATAAAATTTTAGCTAATTCCCCAAGTAGCCAGATGTTTTTTTCTGAGAGGCTGGAAGCAGTAGCTGTTTTCTGCTCTATAGAATTTCTGAGATTTTTCAGAAAATTTATTTTCTTGTCCTTGCTGTCTGTATGACAGAGATTATGATTTGTAAAAGGCCATTTTGTTTTTACAGTTGTCAGCACATGAGTGCATCCTCCTAACCCTTTCTGCTCCAACCACACGGCACCTGCAGCTTCAGTTTGCTGCAAGGAGAGCCAGCAGGGAGAGCTGATTGAATTTGGTCGTGACAAATGAGCAGCTTTTGATTTGCTCAGTCACTTCTGGAAGGGCACCCAGACATGAGACATGCTACCTTCTTCAAAGGCCTCTGAGGAGTTTGTGGCTGGCGCCTGACTTGAATCAGAGCCAGAGCTCAGGTCCAGCCTGTGCAGTAAGCTGGGTGCTCCTCTGGACAATTGTTAAAGCAGCCAAATACAAGAGATATTTGTTTGTTTATTACTGTGTCACATCCACACCTCTAACATGTGCTCAAGCCCAGCCTTCTTCTGTGTTTGTGGCCTGTGGGTTTTTTAGAAAGGTAAGTGGGAGACAACTCCAATATTTATTTATCTGCTCCAGCAATCATTGACATTGGTTAATGACCTAATTTAACCAATGTTCATATCCGTAGCACATTAAAATGTATTTTTACAATGATCAATAGTGACATCCCTGTCAGTATTTCTGTGAGGCTGAAAAGAGGAAGTTATAGGGGGGGTATTCAGTCAAAAAACATGTAAACTTTAGAGAAATTATTAAAAAGGCCATAAAGTGAGAGCTGCTTATATTAATACTTTGCCCTTTTTTTTTTTTGCATTTATAGTAGTAAAAAGACAAACTATATATAATGAAAGCTCAGAGATTGAGGAATGGCTTCCAGAAAATGGAATTTATTTTTCTTAAAATCGAAACAAAAAATCACTTGTGATATTTCTGGGCTTCAGAGTTACTGACCAAATAAAAATTTGCTGCTTTTAGTTGTCTCCTTCTTTTTGTTTGCAGTAAAGGCACACATGTAACTTGGTACTAGAAAGGATTCTCCAGAGGCTCAGACTGGGTGGCACAGCTGCTTCTCCAGAGCAGTGGGGTTATTTCATTGTGCACACTTCCTAGGACTGGGCTGTCCATGGGAAAGCCAGGAAATGAGGAATAGGGGTGGGTCTTTGCTAGGAGCTCATTCAGCAGAATGCTAAACCACAGCTTCCTAAGCTCCAAGGCAGTCACTGACAAAGAATGAATGCTTTGTACAGCTGCCTCCCCATGTGCAATTCCTTTCTGCAGGATAAATTGCCTAATTCATTACTTGTCTAACATCATTTCTGCAGTCCCTCATTGTATGCATCAGGCTTCAGAATAGTGTTCCAAACTGTGCAGTGGGAATAAAATTAAGATACTTTAAATTTTCTAAAAATTTATTATAATAAATATTTTTAATCTGGAAATGATACATAAACTAAGCTTCATTTTGCTGTTTGATGTAAGAAACCTAAAATGTATCCTTAATAAAAGCCTAAAAATTGTCCTCTTTTCTATCTGAGAATTTTGGAGCAAAATTTTGCTGAGAATAACCTCAAGTGTATGCCCAGAGTTGTTTGTATGAGATACATGGAAAAAAAAACCCAAACCAACATAAAACTCAAGTTCTACTGATGCTGGTAGCACTTCAGAATAGCTCAAGCTGACTGCATAATGATTACTGAGCACGACTGTCAGGTTTAACCTAGGAATAAAAATAACACAGGCAAAAAAACACCCAGACTTGGAAACACTTATGCAAGATGTGTCCTTTTTGTCAAAAAGGTCAGAAGTTTAGTGTTGTTTTGTTTTGCTCAGATAGAATATGATGGTATTATTTGGTTGTTTGCATTTTTAAGTTCTCAAATTAAATTTATCTGCAATAACAACTTTGTTTGCTTCCTGGAATAGAGGTTGGGATTTAATTTTGTTGGTGGTACAGTCATCTCTGAAGCCTCATTGTCTAGGAAACAGTAGACTAGCTTTACACATAGTATGGGAAACTGATATGTTTTTCAGTCCACATATTATAATTTGAACATTTTTTTTCTTTTTTTCAGCAAAAGAGACCTTCTAGCATATCTCCATGTTAAGGTGTTTCCAGCTGCTGCTCTTCCTTAGCAATGCAAGCAGAGTTAAAATCACTTGCAAAGCCATTCTGCTCAGTGTTTTAACAGCTCAAGGAAGCAGTGGGAGCAGCCTGGTCAGGCCAGAGAGCTGATGGAAGTCTGTGCTCTTCCATGGCCCCTTCAGGGGTCACAGAGAGAACAGGAGCAGAGCTGTGTCTGACAGGCACAGCGAACAGACAAGAGGCAACAGTCCTGTACCACCACAAGGGAAGATGCAGTTCCACAGAAGGCAAAACATCCTCACCCTGGAGTGGTTTTGTAAAGGTGCAGGTTCTCTGCATGGGGCTGTCAGGTCTCTGCCCTCAGCTGCTTCTGTGCTGATATCAGGTGTCTCTGTAGGCTGGGGACCATCACAGAGTTGGTTTGGAGGTGGATGATGTTTGTGGCTGCTGGGGAGGGATGAGAGAGAAAGAAGAAGACTGGAGAAGTTGAGCTATAAAAAGCACACACAAGGCACTTAGGACTACAAGGACAAGACAAAATGCACTGTTGCTGTCTGGGCCCAAAGGGCCTTTCTGGTGGTGCTGAGGGAACCTGCGGAGCATCCTCCTCTACCTTACCCGATTGCCCAATTTTAACCAAAAACCAAGGGTGAGGGGGAGTGGTGGGGCTGAGCCATGCTGCTGCCTGCTCACAGAACCACAGTTATCCGGGATGCCCAGCACTGTTTATCCCGTCCAGCTCCCTGCCCTGCCCAGGACACCGCCGGGAGTCACACCGCGTGCCTGCCTGGGAGTGTGCTCCGAACTCTCCTTGAGCTCTGCCAGGCTGGGTGCTGTGACCACTGCCCTGGGGAGCTGTTCCAGTGCCCAAACACCCTCTGGGTGCAGAGCCTTGTCCTGACATCCATCCTAAACCTGCCCTGACACAGCTTCAGGCCATTCCCCGGCTCGTCCCGGTGTCGCCCCGCCCGGCCCGGGACGGCCGCTGAGGGCAGCCCCTTCCTGTGCCCCCTCCGCGGAGTGCGGGCCGGCCCGGGATGCGCTGCGGCATCCGTACTGGTGTCTGTCTGTCTGTGTGTCCGTCCGTCTATCTGCGTGTGTCTGTGTGTGTGAGAGCGGGAGGGCGCGGGGGTTGTGCGCTGCCCGGCGGGGGCGGCGCTCGCTGCAGCGCCAGCCCCGCTCCCGGGCGTTCAGGGCGGACGCGGCGGGGGCGGGGAGCGCGGCCCCAGCGCCCGGCATGAGCCCGCGGCGGGGGCTCGGAGGCGGCGGCGGTGCCGAGGTACGAACCCCCGCCCCCGGCAGGTGCAGGGTCCTCCCCCGCCCGCGGCACCGCCTGCCCTTGCGGGGCCGGGGCTCGGCGCGGTCCCGCCCGCGGAGCGCCGAGCCGGCAGGGAGGGGAAGGGTAAGCGAGGGGAGGGGAAGGGAACGTAAAGCGAAGCAGAGCGCAGCGTGCCAGGCCCGGCCGCGGGCGCGGGAGAACCGAGGTGAACCCGCGGTCTGCGCCTGCCCGCCCGGCCCGGCGCTCCCGCCTCCCCCGCGCTCACGCCGCCCGCCCCCCTCTCCCTCCGCAGGGAGCCGCAGGGCGAGCAGCGCTGCCGCGGCCGGGCCAGCCCCCGCCGGGTCCATGAGCCGCCGCCAGCCGCCAGCCCACACCGCCGCCGCCGCCGGGCCCAGCTCCCCCAGCCCCGCCGCTTCCGCCGCCGCTCCGCCGCCCCGCCGGAGGTGAGTCCCGGGGCCGGGCCGCCGCCTCCCCGCCCCGCGGGCCCGGGCTCCTGTCAGCCGGGGCGGGGGAGAGGCCGCCGGAGCGCCCGCCGCCTTTCCGGGGAGGGGGAGCTGGAGGGCGGCCGGGAGCACGCGTGAGTGCCCCGGGCCGGGAGTGCGGGCTGGGCTGCCCCGGAGCCCGGGCACGGAGGCAGCGCCGGCCGGAGGTCGCGCCGGAGCCTCCGTGCCTGCCCTGGGGCGGGGGTCGCTGCCTGCCCGGGGACCCACGGCCGGAGTGGGAGCGGGTTAGGGCCGGGCCGGGGATACCCGTGCCTCGCCCCCTCAGGCACCGCTCCCCTGGCACCGTGTTGTGCTGTCCCCACTCTGGGAGAGCTCCCCGTGCCACCGTGGTTCTGCTGTCCTTACTCGGGCAGCCCTCCCTGTGCCACCGTGGTTTTGCTGTCCCCACTCGAGGAGCGCTCCCCGTGCCACCTTGGTTTTGGTGTCACCGCTCCAGGAGCGCTCCCCGTGCCATCTTGCTGTCCCTCTCTCCGCAGGACGGTCCCGCTGTGAAGAGCATGGCCGTGACTGTAGAGAAGGCCCAGAAGTTGGGCTACACCTGCCTGAAAGCACTCCTCAGGTTCGCTTTTATGGTCGCCAATAACCTGGTTGCTATTCCGTCCTACGTCTTGTATTTAATTGTGCTGCAGCCTCTCCGAATATTGGACAGCAAAAGCTTCTGGTATATCGAAGGAGTGTTATTTAAATGGCTTTTAGCTATGGTGGCTTCCTGGGGCTGGTGGGCAGGATACACAGGTAAGAATGTCTTATTAATTTAAAACATACTAATGTGTTAAAAGACTATTTTCATAAGGGGATGTATAGGGGAATATCTGAATGTAGTAAATATGCAGTATGTTCTTTCAGTTGTCTTACATAGATGTGTTTATTGGTTGAGATGCTGTGTACTGAAACATTTTTTAAGTCATAGCTAGAAACTTTATATGTTTTAAGAGGTTTGTAGTCAGTATTTTGTGCTAGTGAAATGGGAAATATGACTTCTCCTTAGTATCTTGATCACATTATTGTAGTGTTTCACAAAAAAGATACATCTCCTCAGAAGAGAGTTGGTTCGTACTATGTGTGTAGCTAGCAGAATTAAACTTTTCTTATATTAAGTGTGTGCATCTCTAAATCATCTCCCCTTAGAAACATCAGGAGCCAAGGCTGAGAAATTTGACACGAAGCTCGTGTCAGAAGAGTAGGTCTTCTGCTCCTTGCAGCAGCGACTGTCTTTTGTGCCGTCTCAGAAGGGAGGGAAGCAGAGGGAACCTCTTTCATTCCAGTAGTGATACGGAATATTTCCCAACTCTATGACTCTTCATTTACTGTTAGCAGGGCTAATTACAGTATCTGTAGGGGTTTTCCCTCTGCACGCTTGCTTTGTGGTTATTTCTGAACTTGTTTTTGCTCGTTTAGTATTCATGGGCTCATCAAGGTGATGGACTGAACTGAAATATTAAGGAAGGCTCTGGTCTTGTCCTCGAATGCACTGATTTTCATCCTGGCTACTGCACTTCATGAAAAAACCAGCCATGAGTTCTTTGTACGAGCTTTGGAAAGGGAAGAAATGAATCTATTGAGTGCAAAGTGTGAGCAGCCCTCCTAAAATTCTTTCCTTCTCTTCTGCCCAGGCTGCATCTGCAGGTCTTGTGTAAACAAGAAAAACAAGGAATGGCAGCAGACAGCTCTGGAGTCTGGTCAGACTCCTGATTAGTCAGAAAGTCAGTGTTGGCCCAGACGGAGGCTTGTTAGGCAACGAGAGCTGACGCCTCAGTGCCAGTGTGGCTTTTGGTGCCCTGTCCTGTGCCTTTCCAAGATGCACACAGGTTCTGTGGATACTCTAGGTGAGCTTCCCGTGCTTTTTAAGGACATGGTGGCAGCAGCAGCAGCAAGCTGGACTCTGATCTGTCGGGCTAGAACTGTTGCAGCGCTGCACTGCTTCAAAATGCCTTGCTTGGTACGGCTCAAGCTTATCCAGAGATGCTGTTTAAAGGCCTTTTTATATGTTTGCTCATTAAAAGAAGTCCACATGGTGTTTGCAGTGGCAGGTACACTTGTAAAAGTGCTTTATGTTGTAAAGAGCACAGGCCTTCCAGGAGGAAGGAGTGACTTTCAAGGTGTCTTGTGTACTGTTAATTGGAAATGGGAAAGTTTATGGCCATAATGGTGATGTTAAAGTCATACAGCTCCTGACCCCGAGGATCCACTGTGTGTACTGAAGGTGCTGGTTAAAATTCATTGTCCCATGACCATTTATGAAAGCCATTTCCTCAGGGTAGTTTCACTGCTGACTGCAGAACTGTGTGGTTTCTTTTGCCTGTTGCTTGGAAGGTGGTCTTAGCATGATTTGCATATCCTAGAATCTTCCTGAAACATCGTGTTGCTGATTTGAAATCACTTATTTTATGGTCTTGAAATGTCTTAGTATATTTGTTTGAAGTATTTACAAGCTGCTATGCAGAAGTGTTTGAAGGGATGGTGTACGGGTAAGGAGGCCGTTCTCTTTGCTTTTCACTATGAAGCATGGCTTTTGGGGAGGATTTTGAGCAAATGCTTGTATGAGAGTTTAGTTTAAATGCATTTTATTTGACATTAAGTCATTAGTGTGTTTTATACTGAAATTATATGAATTAGCAAGAACAGCTTATTTCTTTGTCCTTTCTTTAACCTCATCAGTGCTCTCTACCACTTGCAGAACAAACCTGGAAAGTGTATCTTTCTGGCTTCAAAATATGCAGACAGAGTAATCTGTGTCTTTTTCCAGATTAATAGTTTTTTAAAAACCTGCCACTAGGTCCCCTGTTATTTATACAGTATGACATAACTAACTCAGAACTGAAATACTGCTTTATTGGAGTTGGTGTCCAAGACTTGCAGTGGTACGTGTGAAAGAGACATTGCTCCAGAATTCTTCTGTTCTAACTTCCAAAAAACTAAGTCAAAGGTAGGCCTCAGTATGTCCTGTATTTACAAAAGTAAATACAAGGCAGTAGATATGCATGGGTTCATTGAAAAGATTGAAGTTTTTGTCTTTTAGTAGTTGGTGGACGTTTTTTGTTGGTTTATTTGTCTTTAAGAGGGTAACCAGATAAATAAGTTTACTTGTCTTTTAGTTGGAGGGCGTAGTCTGCTTCAGTTGTGTTGCAAGTATATTTTAGTTCTTTTGTTTTATTTATTTTTTCCCTTTCCAAGCTTGGGTCATCTCTTGGGTAAGAAGCGACATAAATAATTTGTAATTAAGGACTTAAACTCAGCCTGCAGAATAGATTCAGGGCAGATTTTTTTTGCTCCCGTAATTTGTGTGTAATGTGTAGGAGAAAGCTCGACACCAAATGAAGTGAATATGGTGAGTGCTAGCTTACCCTTCTGGGCTTTGCTGCTGTTGCATAATTGTTGGTATATTTTATTGAATATAGCTGGAAGAGCTGAGGAAGAACTCCTGAATCATAGCTGCCCTTCTCTTTCTCTGTCTAAACCTGGGGGTTTCTGTTAGGAACATAGAGGATTTATGATCACAGAAATTACCTGATCTGTGTCTGTATCAGTAGCTCTAATCTGTGCTTTTTGATAAATGTAGGTGTTTCTGTTTGCAGATGCACTTGGTATTATGTAAAGAAATAGCATATGACTGGACAAGCAAATTAAAGAAGGGACTGGAAAAGAAATTGTAAAGGTCACTGTCGTCTCCCTAATCTTTTTCTTCTTAAGATGCAAGTATGAGAGAGAACTGGTGCATAATTGGTTTACTTTGATTTTTAAAGGGCAGAATATGATAAATATCTCTGTTGTTCTCTTGAGCTCCATAGGGTTTCTTACAAAAATGAGAACTGGATATCTTTTTATGAAGAGTGTACAGACAGTCTAGCAATGTTATTTTATTTTTATATTATTTCAGAAAGGCCTTCTTATAACTCTTCTAAATCTCCTTTTTAAAGGCATTTTTTAATTAATGTATTGCTCTTGTAGGAGCTGTTCAGCCAGGGCACTTGGAATCTGCATATTAGTGTGATTTGAAAGGCACCTTTGAATAATACTTCTAAATATTTTCCTGCATTTGTTGGAAGATGCATTCTAAAAAAAGCAAACTCAAGAGTGCTTGATCCTTTGTTGGCAAGTACCTTTTCCCCTGTACTATGATTTGTCATTTAATATATGAGTACACCAGATAGCGCTAAATAGTGTGGTAGATGGGAGGGAGATGGAGCATATCTGTGGTGGTGAATTCTGACGATCTTTTGCTCACCTACAAAACTAGTTTTAAAGCTGTCATCTTAGAGATTTCATCTTCATTGGTCAAGTATTGCAGACCAAGTGTAATATCCATGCACTTAATCGAATCACCAAAAATAGGACTGCCAGAGAGAGGCTTGCTTAATTAATTACACACAGAGGAACGGTGTTGTTGCCTCTGTGCAGTCGGAATGCAGGAGTCGGTCGGAGCCCATGATGGTGGTGTTGCAGTGTTGCAATGAGGAGTCTCTGGAACTCAGAGCACTCAGCTGGCAGTGCAGCCCTGGCACTGGGGATGCTGGTGTTCTGCTCCAGTGTGCTCCACACAGCTCATCCCACCATGGGGTGCGGGGCTGGTGCCTCTGGCTGCGGCTGGGGAGGGGCTGCCAGGGTGAGTTGTAGCTAGGATATTTTCTGAAAAATCTTTTCTTTAAGATTTTTTTCTCTTGAGAAGCTGAGAAGCCTCAAGAACAAAATGTAAACAATGATTATCTGCTGCTGTGGAATGCAACAGGTGGATCTGTGGTTGGTCTCATGTGGTTGTTTTTAATTAATGGCCAATCACAGTCCAGCTGTTCGGCCTGTCTCAGTCAGTGACAAGCTTTTGTTATCATTCTTTTTCTATTCTGATGAAATCTTTTCTTTTATTCTTTTAGTATAGTTTGAAGATAATATATATCATAAAATAATAAATCAAGCCTTCTGAAACATAAAGTCAACATTCTCGTCTCTTCCCTCACCCTAAGACTCCTGCGAACACCGTCACAGTGAGTGTCCTCTGGCTGCAGCAATCATCAGCTCTTCTGTCACCACCAGGGGAGAGAAGCTGTGGGCTCTGCAGGCTTGTGTGCACCTGGGCAGGGGGTTTCTTCAGAACTGTGCCTAGGGTATTTCATACTCCAGCAGCAAAGAGGAGACTTTGACAAAACCTTGTGTTTCGGCCTCTCAGTGACACACAGAGCAGTATTGGATAAGTCAGTGGGCTGTGGGCAGGGGGAAGGGAATAATACACTTCTTAGCACACTCTAAAAACTATTAGTGCTGTGACTGTGCTTGCTGGTATAATGATGCAGTGCTTAATTAAAAGTGGACTGATCCTATGATGTTACTGTTCTGTGTCAGCCAGGATGGTGACTAATTTTAAAGAGTGTCTGCGAGAATTGTCAAGTGAGGTTTTGTCAAGTGAGGAGAATTTCCTTCTCTGTTCAGCTCAGTAAAGAAAAGCTGAGATTGAGATTTTGATTTTTAGCTGTCCCCATCTCTTCTCCTCCCAAGAGATTTAGCTTTTATTGGCTGATTTATACAAGGGATTAGAATGAGACCACTCTATAATTTTTTCAGCAGTCTTGCCTTTTTTTTCCTTCTAATGCAAAATCTTGTTTCCGTTTTATCAGTCAACAGCCTTAATTCCTCTAATCGTCTAAGAATGCAAATATTTTGTCTTCCAGAGCTGTAAAAGACACAGGTGGAGTTGCTGTGACAACACTTCCTTAGTGCAGACAACATGTGCTGTCTGTGCTGCT